CCCAGCCACTCTCTTTGTTTTGCCTTCCCACCTTTGCCATATGAAGCACAGATGCATAAGCAGGCAGAAAGCCCTGCTCCCGCCTCAGCAAAACAATCTCGCAGCGAGAAGAAAGAATGGGAAATAAAAAGCAAGACAATTAAGTTTAAAATATACACAAAAAAAAACCCAACTCAAAAGCCCATTGCTGCCCTTTTTGTGACAGGAAAATTAAACTAAAATAATCTTTAAAATAAATAAAATGAATAAAAATAAATGAATTAATAATAACAAAAATAAATTAATAATTAAAATGTAATTAAATATAATTAAAATATAAATAAATAATAAAATAAAAATGAAATAATTATAAAAATAAATAAATAGACTAAATTTAAATGTCCGCAGCTCTTTCAGAGTAACTTCTCTCAAATATGGTCTTTCTTATCTGTCTGTACACAGCTAAAACCCTTGTCTGGACTTTTATCTTCCTGTCTCTTGATTATTGCAACATCCCTTTTACTGGCATCAGTAAATACAAGTCTATCTCACTCCTACTTAGAATACTACTGCAAAGAGCCTTCTTAGTCCATGCCCTGTCCCAAGTCCCTCTCCTTGAGTTTTTTCCCCTGTCATCAATTCCCCTCCCTATCTTTCCTTAAATATAGCGCCTTTTCTGTGGTTTCAGGATCCCTTCTGGCCAGCCTCCATCTCACTCCTCCATTATCAAAACGTTCACTTCCACTCCAGCTCAGCACGCCATGCCACTGCCTCCTGGGAGGTTTTCAAAGCTTGCTTTATGTGCTTCTTCCTACTCCTCTTATTACAGTGCAGAAAACTCCATACGAAGATCCACAGAACTACCTCATTACTCGCCTACAAACTCCTTAAACCCCACGTTTTAAGAAAACCCTCCTCAACAGTGGAGCTGCTGTTGCCCTGAGACCACTGCTGGTGACAGCAGCCATTAGTGTTTTACTGTTTCTCTGAAACTGGGGCTGCCGGCCCAGAGCCTGCGACTGAGCTCATAGCGCCAGCGAGGCAGGATACAGACGCCAAAAGTCCAGGACAATGCACGCCCAAGTGCAACAATAGCCTGTTGTTTTCAACACTTCCTTGCTGGGACAGTACCTTGAACTCTGAGGAGCTGGCTCATCCCAAGATCCAAAAGCTTATTTCAAAAAGCTTATTTCTTAGGGTAAACATGAGATATCGCCATAGAAAACAGCGATGTTACCACTCATACAGAAGATCCTGAAGGTACCCAGTCAAACAGCTGCTCCTTGACTATCATCTTCAGAGCCTGAACACAATTCGTTACTACTGCAGCACATATAGCACCGCGCAGTAAGTGCAAAATCTGAACATCAGTTTAGTGTCGTTTCCATCGCACACAAAGCAGGACCTTTCTGGCCGACTTCAGCATCAACATCGCTCAGGAGATCTTCGGAGAACTTCAGAGATCTTTAAGTAACTTTTCTTTCAGAGAGCTGGACACCATTTCATCAATTCACTCACAGTATGCATGTCTGCTTTCAACAATTTCTTAATTTCTCTATCTCTGCAAACATCCAGACCAAGTGAGATGGGTTGAATTTTTCAATAAAAGTATTAGATACGCAAATATAAGTGTGCCGGTTCTAATAAAATTTAGTTTAAAATTCTGTTGTTCAACTACCCATATATAGTTAACAAAAACTTCCTGATTACCTGAAGCATCAGCACAGGTTACACAGGGAAATACAGGAATTGCTGTCAACTGAGGTTATAAGGAAGAGGCGAGACAAGTATCTGCCAGGAAAGGTTTCACTGCAGCTGATCCTGTCTCAAGAGACAGGACAGACGGAAAGATCCTTACAAAAGTCCCTTCCAATCCTATTTCTTACTTTTCCACTGCGAAACTCTTAAAAAACCTCATTCAAACAATGAGGCAAAACTGAGGGATTTTTCATCCTCGGATGCATCAAGCTGCACGGACGCCAACATCCATTCTTCAAGATGCAATTTCCGTTCCAAGTACCCAAAAAGCCATTTTACAAAGCAGCAGCTGATTAGACATTTTGTTAAACAAGCTTTTTCCTTACTCTGCAAAGTAAAATGGAGGGAGTTACAGGCAAAGCAGACAACTCTGATAAATTTAATTCTGAAAAGTGAAAATGCTGCTGTTTCCCATTTGGTGCAGTTGCACCTACATGATGACGCCCTGGTGAAATCACTGTGAGCATTAAATGTAGTTTGCCTTTACCTTAGAAAGGCAAAGCTGAACTTACAGATTTTCAACAAAATAAATCCCAAAAGCAAAGCAAGGATGGCCAAGTTCAGCAGAACACCTGATGATGAATTAACAGAGCTATTGGCTACTGAAAAGGGAGTTTAAAAATAAGCCTAAAGCAGTGGATAGAGATTTGTGTTTGCTGTTATTTTCATTAAGTTTTATCAGGCACTATTTTTTTTTTCTGTTATCAAAACAAGACTAAAAATAAAGAACTTTACATATCTTTCATGTTTGCAGAGGCAAAAAAAAATAAATGCACTCTCACCGCAACTACACCAGAATAAGAAATGTCTTAGTTTACCAACTCCATCAAGTATCTAGCAACATAGATAACTGATTACATGTTTATTAAGACATAATTTTGTATGTTCTATTCTCTAAAAGTTTTTCATTAAAAGAAATAACATTTTTCCATGTATAATACTGGCATAAAAATGTGTTTTAGTTTCATTTTCTTCCATTATAATGCCTTTAAAATGAAGCTGAGAAAAACATTACTGCTTGACAGTCATGTTTACAGTGAAGAAAACTGTATTTTTCATTTGGCTTCATGCCAGCGCTGTAGCTCAACTGGTTTGGTAACTCCCACAGAAACCAACAACTAAAGATTAAACACAAACTCTGAGCAGAACGTACTCCGAGTCGGTCTTCCGAAGCTGTTTTCCACATTTGCTCTCTAACTGCGATACCAACCATAAAATCGAATCGCACGGGTAAAAGCCCTGCTCATCAGGTCTGCCGCGTGGAAAGTCACAGGCTCTCCACGCAGACCAGGGGATGGGGCATTTCACATGGCAAAGCTGAAGTCTGCAGCCTGTTTGGGGTTAGGACAAGACTTTCATCCGAATGGCTGCACCGGCAGTGACTGCAGGTTATCCCTAATTGCAGGACTTCTTGCTCCTCCTGTTCAGCGTCATTGCAGCCACGATATTGTATTACAATCCTTGTAGTTTTAAAATCATCTGAGAGAGAGTAATAGTTGAAGAAAAACAAACAATAGTGAAAGACACACTGCAGATACACCTGAGGTTAATATCTCCAATATCTGGCATGACTTTTGTTGAATAAGTATTTTAGAAGGTCTTGTACATTGCAATAAAAATAATAAAAATAACAAAAACTGAGGTGAAGCATCTGAAAAGTCACATAAAATTGGACTTTAAAAAGGCACGTCGAACAGACTTCCTCCTCTCTAGCTCTAACAATAAATTACAGTATAACTGAGGGAGAAATAAGCTACAAGTCTCACCAAAATAGCAGTCCCTATTCCTCTGGAAGCAACAGGCCAAGTTTTACCTACATTTCAAAATGAGCAGGCCTGTGTTCAACGTGTTCAGAGAAAAGCCTGCAAATTCCGCAAAACCATACGTTGTTCCATGTGCTTGGAAGACCTCAACGAGAGCAGCCCACAAACACCAACTTGCTTGTCTATCGCCCTCAACGCCAGTCCCACCTGACCAGAAAGGGATGATGGTACTGCTGCAGAGGCACTGAGGAAGGCTGAGATGCCTTCTTAGAATCAGTTTTGAGTCTTGAGCACTGTTAAGACTGTAAGGCAAATTAATACCTCTGCCCCCTTACTACAGCCTCAGTCTTACAATCTAGCAAAAAGACGGGACTTAATCATTTAAAAGCAGCAACTGGCAGGAGACTGGGGCGAATTCAGATTTAGACAACCGGCTCCTTAGTATTGACCCTTCATCTGTAAGACTCCTGTCACAAAGCCGAAACAGGGAGGTCTGTGATTTTGGGATGGGGAGTTTTTGTGCTGTCTATAAAACGCTGAATAGACTTCTGGTCATCTGCAACAGTGAATGCTACTCTACGTCAAATAACAGCACATTAACTGATGTGATCCTATTGGAAATTGTTTTCTGAATACAAATTAATGCGAACATCAGCTACAAATCTATGGCATTTCCAATTTTTAAAGGTTAAGTTTGAGGTTTTAGGGTAGTTACAAGA